CCGCCCGCCCCGGGGCGGGCGGGGGGGGGGGGGCCGGGGGGGGGGGGGCCGGGGGCGGGGGGGGGGGGGGGAGCAGGAGGGGCAGCTCCGAAGGCGGCCGACTCCTCCGCCAGGCGGCCGTTTGGGAGGGGGTGCAAAGCCGCATGCCCCCCCCCCCTCCCTCCGAAAGGGAAGCGATCCAGGCAGGAGCAGCGGCGCTTTCCCCCCGGGGAAGCCTGGAGTCCTTGGAGGTTGGCGAAGGCAGCGCAGTTTCTGGCGGCTTCTCCTCCGGCGAGAGAAGGGAAGCTTCGATCGAGGTTTATTATAGCCGCTGCCTCTGTTTCAATGCCCTCCGGGTAGTTTGGATAACGATTCCTATGCTGCATCGCCTGCCGGAACGAGTAGACGCGACGACGGGCGTCGCTCTCCTGAACACCTCATGAGCCCAGTGAGGGTTTTAGGTCTAGGATATTTATCCATTTAGGTTACTTTTATTGTCATGGCACCTTGTACAAAGAAGTTAAATGCGATCTTCAGTGTACAATGAGAGTTCAGGTTGTGGTGGTGAAGGAATCCTGTGCAGTCCTTAAGCACAACCTCGGGGTGGCTGGTTTCCTCATTGACTTGACTCCTTGGAAGCTGGAAGTGACGATCACAAGGGGTGAGGATTACTGTGGGAAGTTGTGACCATTGTACCTGTGGGCCGGTTGCCAAGTGCCCTGATCCTGTGGGCCACAATTTCAAGGACTGGCCATAAGTCTTCTTGTTGAGCACTGTTGTAACTTTGAACGGTTGCTGAACAAGAAGTCACTAAGTAAGGACTACCTGGATAGTCAAAAGACCTTCCCTTTAGTAGGGCTGTAATTCTTTCTCCTCTTCCTTCTGCCCACACCTTAGCTAAGCTGATCATGTTCCTATGGGGGGATTTGGGGAGGGGAGAAACAGTTGATTTGGAGAAGAAGAGCAGGGCACTTTGGAAGATGCTGGCATCTTCAAGGCCATTTTCCCTGAGGGTGGAATTTCACCAGCCTCAATACCTCCGGGGTTCCCCAAATGTCTTGGTGATGCCAGATTGGTCATGGGACTTCCTGAAAACCCCATTCTGCCCTTCCCTTTCCCACCCTTAATTTTTTTTTGGTGTATTTTATATAATAAAAAATCTTGAAATACTGGTACACTGACAGATACACGGACCAACCAACCAGACACTGTGATCGTGGACAACAAGCAAAGGACAGCAGTGTTTATGAGAACCTGGAGAAATACCGGGACCTGAAAGAGGATAGTCAAGGCCAAAGTGGAAGGAGCACTCAGGGCTGTGATTCCTAAGTTGGGAGTGGCTCTAACGATCCCAAAAGTGAGATTAGAACTCTGTCCAGACGCTGTGCAGAAACTGCCTTTGAGGTGGTTGAGGAAAACCCATGCCCCACCTATAAGGGTGAGAATGGAACTACCTCCACCCCCACTTACACTAAGAGTAAAAAATACATGGAACCATTACAACAGTAACAGTATTCGTTAATCAAATTTATAGCATGTTGCAATTATATAACTCTCGGTAGCTGACAAGATAGGAATATACAGTAATATATGATAAATATAATTACTGTATTTTTCTGAGTATAAGACACACCTTTTTCCCCCAAAGAGAGGATGAAAATCTGGGTGCATCTTATACACTGAATACAGCATTTTTGGCCTCCTGAAACCCCCCTCCCTTTTCAAATATGGCCATGCATAGCTTTTAGGAGGCTTCCAGAGTGCTCTTGGGGGCTGGAGAGGGCAAAAATAAGCAAAAAAACCAGGCCATTTTTTACTTGTTTGTGACCCCACAGCTCCCAGGAGTACTCTATAAGCCTCCTAAAGGCTATGCATGCAATCTTTTTGACAAAAACGGGCCCGTTTTCACAAAAGTCAGGCCATTTTTGGGAAGTCTGCAGAGTGCAAAAACTTGTTTTTAAATTTGCCTCTTCAAAATCTTGGTGCATCTTATACTCCGAAAAATACAATAAAACCCAGGCCCAACATAGGATAGCAGGTCTCAAAAGCCGCCTGGAAAAGCTTTTTCTGAAAGGCAGACCAAATGTGAGACAGAAAAATGAACCTGTTAAGGCCATTCCAGAAGGGCAACTCCCACACCAAAAGGCAGTGCCTCCAGGACTACACCCATGGCCTCCAGGAAATTAGGAACAAATAGCTGCTTCTCCTCGCATCAGAATGGTCAGCTGTAGTGGGAAGAGGCAGCAATCCAACATAAAGGGCTTTACAGAGCCACACGTGGGTGCGCATTTGAGGCTGGACAAGGTTAGGCAGGTAGGACCAGTGGAAGCCAACATTTCTCTTTTGGACAAAATACAGGGCTTCTTATCTGCTTCACTCTTCTTGTGTGCCTTCAGTCAAAGAACTAAACAGAATCTATTTGAACAATCTCTGGTCTGGATCTTCTTGTACGAAAATAAATTCTTCCAAGGGTGAAGAACAACCTGCTGTCCAACAACTTTTCTCACATGTGTATACTACTGCAGTTCCAAATTCTATGGATGTATCTGCCAAAAAAATGAAGAAAAGTCTTTTCAAGGTTATTGCCCTCATCAGAAATGCACGTAAAAAGATAATTGATCAAAGTGTTGCCCTTCTAACAGAGGAACAATAAAAACACAAGATTAAAATTCAACCTCCCCACAATCGGCCCCATAACAATGCCCCCCACCCCACCCCAAAACCTGAGAGAAAAGAGAAGTCTTAACAGCCTTCTGGAAAGCAAGGAGGGACTGAGCCCTCCGTATTTTGGGGGAGAGGGTAGGCATGGTTACAGAAAATGCTCCCTTCCTAAATCCCACCAGATTACACTTAACACAAGAGACCTAGCCTTTTTCTAAAGGTGTGCAAAATTGTGTGTCTGCGTGTCATTGTGCGTGCATGCGTGCCTTCCCACCTGTGCATGTGCGCACAATCCCCTCAAACGTACAGCCTTCCCAGTGCAGGGGGAAGAGTTTTCACCTTCCCTACGCTTCAGGAAAACCTGAGCCTGGGGAGGGCGAAAACGAAGGCCAGGTCTGACCCGTTGGGCCTGTTTTTTGCCCTCCACAGTCTCCAGAAGTTTTCCTGAAGCCTGGGAGGGCGAAAATGGCCTCTTCCGGGCCTCTGGAAGGCCGAAAATCAGCTGGTCAGCGCACACATGCACTCCGGAGCTTAGGGCTGCCATGCTGACAAATATGGCTCCATGTGCCACATTACGGACCTAAAGCAAGCCCACCATATCCAATCTAGTGGGACTGGTGGGTGTCATCAAGGAGAGCTGATTGATCCCCCAAACACCCTGGGACCTCTGCCATGCAGGGCTTCAAAAATGATACCCACCACCTGGCAAGGAACGGGAAGCTGGTGCAACTTGTGCCGCAATAGGAAGCTGCCCTATTGTTACCCTGCTGAGCCAGGCTGCTCAGAATTGCATGTGCTGCTGCGTTTTGGACCTCTTGAAATTTCCAGGTGGTTTCATTTTGCAGTAGTTCCAATGAGAGGTGGCCACAATAAGAGTCAGGATTCCCAATCGAGCAACAGACACAAATGGAGCACAATGTGAATTTATGCCAAGGCCCTGTGGGCATGACTGTCCCCTGCTCCTCAACTGCAGCTATGAGTGCAAGAAGACCCCCAAATTCTACAGCAGCCCCTCTCTGGGGAAATGCCACCCCTCACGTTGCACCTCTCCATCCAGACCACTACAGCCTCCAGATAAAGCAGAGGCATCTGAGTGGGATTATGTTGATGTATGCATGCAATTCGTTTAATATGTTATGGCCACCTACTCCAACAGACTCTGGGCAGCTTGCAAAACCTGTTGTAAAGTTAAAAACAAAACACAGCACAACAGTATCCCCCCTCCCCCAACACACTAACCCCAGATCTGGGCCCAAACCAGGTTTAAGAACTCTTCGAAACTCTTAAGAGATGCGCACCATCTGTACTTCTGGAATTGCTGTTCCAGTGGTTCAGGCAAGACAACGAGGGCCCGTTTCCTGTGTCCCACAAGATGGTAACATTTAATAGGAGGTCACCTGAAGGCAGCTCCTCTGCCTAAACATACTGGGTAGGCAGAAACCAGAGGAAAGGCATGGTCCCTCAGATAACTAGATCCTACGTCAAGAAGGATTTCAATGACAAAAAGCAGCTCCGGGAATTCTACTCAGACGTCAAGGCAGTTTAACTTATCAGAATCTGGGAGTCTTGGACAAATGTCCAATATATTCAGATCCACAAAGATGACCTTCTGAGAACAGGGAGAACCACAGCTTCTTCCAAAGAGGCATTAACCACCATCTGGACCAACCCATGGTTCACCTCCTGGGAAGCCAGGAGCACCCAGACCACAGCTGGGCCAGCTGCAAGGACCCCGTCCACTTTTTCAGAACCAACCAATTGAATCTCTACTCGGTCACTTCCATGGGATCCCCCAAGCAACTTTATCAAAAAGAGGCAGAGCATAGTCTTCACAGTGCAGGGGGTTCCACTGGCCCTTCCTGCCTTCCTAATATTGATTTAGGAAACTCTGACCAGCTGTAAATATTTCTACATTTATCCACATTCCTAGCTATCCTATAAATAACTTACAAAGAACAAAAGAAAACTAAGAAAGGCTTCAAGCAAAACAAGAATATGCTTGCAAGAAGCCTGAAAGGTCTCAGGAAGAGGCCCAGATACTGGTACTTAAGAGATGGGATATGACTGCACCTTCTGAATTGCAAGGATCTGGAGGTTAAATCTCCACGGGACTTAATTGCCTGCATCTGTTAGCATCTCAATGATTAGCTAGTCTGGCAGGTTTTGTCCAAGTGTGTGTGTGGGGAAAAATAATTATTGTAATAGAAATCTGTAGGAGTAATGGAACAGCCAAACCAGATTGACAAGGCATTTGCAAACAGAAGCAGTATATAGGCAGGAATTAGCAGAACAGCCATCCATTCTGAAGTAGAACCTCCAGTTTTCTACCCAGCCTCTCTTCCTTATTTACACCACAGAAAGGAGGAAAAGCTCCTCCAATTAATTTATTGCAAGCCAAAATCTTAATCCAGGCTGCCTACCATTTTCCCTGGTCTTCAGCATGTTGACTAGAGTTGGCATCAGTTGGAATTCAAAGATTCTCTTACTTTTGCAGTTATTACAGCGTGGGACTCTTGTCTGGAAGTCTGCAGATGGTTGGGTAATAAATAAAGGTTGGCCATTCCAGGAGTATCTAAGAGACAGAAGGTCCCAAATCTATTATTATCCCAAGCTTCCATTTAGGGAAAAAGCTCTCCCTAGGCAGCTAAACAAAAAATACAGTAAGAATACTTACGATAGCAGTAGCAATAGAATAGCAGTGATTTATATTCTGCTCACTCCATAGTGTTTTACGTCACTCTCTGAGCAGTTTACAAATGTCAGCGTATTTCCCCCAACAATCCTCATTTTACCAACCTCAGAAGGACGGAAGGCTGAGTCCACCTTGAGCCCAGTCAGGTTTGAACTCTAGGCTGTGTTTAGAGTTTGCCTGCAACACTGCATTCTAACCGTTGGGCCACCATGGCCCTTCCGGACCTCCTCCAATCCCCAAACACCCATTCCCAACTTTTTAGATACTTGGTTTAATAATACAGGTAGTCCTCGACTTACAACAGTTCACTTAGTGACCATTCAAACTTACAATGGCACTGAAAAGTGACTTAGGACCTTTTTTTCACCCTTACGACTCTTGCACCATCCCCATGTCATGTGATCACAATTCATAAAACGGTCATTAAAAAGGTCATAAAATGGAGCCAAACTCACTTAACAAATGTCTCACTTAGCAACATAAATTTTGGGTCCTATTGTGGCCGTAAGTTGAGGACTACCTGTATTCCACTGTCATTGTATTTCATGGCATATTGTTATAAAACAATAACACACACTGCAGCATTACAGCACAGCTGGTTGAACCAAAAGAGATCAATTGAGAAAATTTTATCCTACAGAAATTGCCAAACTTTTAGCTTATACATTATTTGGAATCCCTGATCTTGATTTATTGTTACACGGACTTTACAAGGACACATAGAGAAAAGTTTTTGCTTCGGACTAGTTTTAGTCCACCTTTTAGTTTTGTTCAGTTCATCAGAGCCAACTGTGTTTAATTTTTACTTGAAGCGGAACAGCCCTATTGGTGCCTCCCATATCAGCAGGGAATCTGCTCAGAAAGGATGACACCAAAATTCAACGCAACATGCCCATTGCTTTTCTTCATACTTTAATGCTTACAGCAGGTATATAAAACACTTGCCAGTTGAATGCCACTATTTCCCTCAGATCCTCCCCTTCCATTGCTAAAACAAAGCCACATAACTCTCTTCTCTACCTTCCAGGAACATCACTACATTATCAGTGGCCTCACTGCCTCGGAGGAAAAATGTTGTGTTTTTAAGAGTCTAAAAGCCTGCTTCCCATGATTTAGGATGCTCTCCTTCATATAGGTCTCATGGCTGAAGCATGGCTCGCAGCATGAATCCCATTCCCAAGTGGGGGAGAATGAATGGAATGAAAGGGAGGTATTTGGAGCCCCCCCCCAAAGGGATGCAAGAGAGCAGACTTGAAGCTTGTAGCTATGTCAGATGCCAATCTTCGCTTTCTTTGAAACTGGCTAGCAACTGCCACAACCGTGTGTGTGTGTGTGTGTGTGTGTGTGTGTGTTGGGGAAGAGAAGGGATCTGGAGGTGTGATTGAATGCTGTGGGAAATAAGGGAGTATGCACACCAACAGGAACCAGAGGTGTCAAACTGAGCTATCTTCCTGCCTTCAAGGCCACCGACCCTGGGAAAGGAATTTATAACCCTGCCAGAGGCATCTGGCTTCCAAAACATTGGGACATACCTGATTGGACTTCTCCCAAAGGGGGGAAGGGATTTGGGACATGGGGATTGCTTTCAAAATGTAATTTTCATGCAGATTTTCCTCAGCGCTTCTTGCTTGTGTTGCACCCAGTGCCTTTTCTCTACATCTGTGGAGCCAAAGGTCATGCTTTCCTAGGAACAAAGCTGGAGCCAGTTCGACAGCCAGCGCCCTCAAGGTCAACCAGCTGGGAAATTCCAGTCCAAACAAAATGAACAGTGGATTGGACGAAATAAAGCGACTGTGGGATGGGGGACGAGACATTTAATTATGCTATTTGTGTGGGAATCCGTTAAATTAGCTTTGCTATTTTGGTATCCATGGTCAGCTCAGTAAATTGTATTCTTGGAAAATGAAGCTAGCCCAGGAGTCCTTATTTGTTGAATGAACTGCGTGGGACAGTTGACAGCGGGGCTCAAAGATATTCTAAATTCTAGCTTATTTCCAAACACAATCGGTTTTTATTAGACAGAAACAAAATAAATGGGCCTAACCTACCTTAAGATCTGTTCCTGGCAGGAGGAAATTCTTTTCATGAATTTGTAGAATATCTGGTTTCTCTTTTCAGCTTCACTCTTCTCATACTTCTCACCAGAACCATCAGGGGCATAACTAAGCATAAGGAAGACACTGATATTACACCAATCACAATATTACTGCGTTAGTAAACCAACTCAGAAGGGTTTTCTAGTAAAGAGAAAGTGGAAACCATGGACTGGGATAGCCACAGGATGTGGTTAAAAGCCATGCCAGCAGGGCTGAAGCTGTGCCTGGTTTATTCTACCTGGAGGAGGATTTATCTATGCTCTTTTATGCTGCTGACTTTATGACTGATCCTGATCATTTTTACATTTGTATTTTATTATCTGAATGGTCTGTGCTTTTGTGAGTCGCTTTGAAGCCTAGAATAGAAAACTATAAATATTTAAACAGCAAGTCTCTTGAATATATTCGGTTGTATGCTGTCCATTCTCCACATTTGCAGACCTGGCTGTTACTTGGTACCAATTTTCCAGCCACTCTTCGCAATCCAGAGAAAACCTTCAGACTCAAGCCTCACCTTGCTGACATCAAGTGTTCCAAATCCACATCCTCCCTCTGCTGATACTCCTTTAGAAGCCTCTGAGCATCTTCCAAGTCCTCCCAACAGAGATAGTCTTCTTCCTCCACTACACTGATGTAGTAGGGCTGGAACTCCTGGGCACAGCTGGAGGGCTTGATTGGCTCTTCCTGAGTCATGTCAGGAAAATCCCCCGTGTTCTTTCCCAGGCTCATTCTCTGCAATAGAGCTGCACATTGTGTTTCTCTAGGGAAAGAGTGGAAAGTCGCAGACAGCTCAGAAGGTGCCTCTTCACCGTTTTCTCCCCAATCATCTGCTCCATTGCACCAGTCGGTGACTGCTTGTGTCCGTTCTTGCTCCTATCAAACCAAGGGATGCAGAAGTGACTTATGCAGAACCAGATCCAAGCAGTTATAAAGCAGTTGCTTGAATCCATCCAGCTGGAGACTTTCCCAGACCTTGAGGAGTCAGAATATTTTTCTATTCTTTTTTCATTCCAATATGAGCCGTATTCGAGATGGGCAGCTATATAAACTTAACTAGTAAATAAATCTGGTTGGACTCTTCTGCCTGCAGAACAGAGCTGCACTTCTTTATGCTCCTTTTAGGGAACAGTCAGGATTTTACACAGCTAAAAACATCTTTGAAATTGAACACACGACTACAGGAAAAAAACAATTTAAAATGATAAAGAATATTTGTAGCTTGGGGTTGAAATGAGGGGTACTTGATGCTCTCTGAACTTTTCATGCAGATTTTTTATTATCCAACCTAGGTAACAACATCAGTGCTAGTAAGGAATGGGATCTGCTCTCAATTTCTATTCTAGCAGCTTCTCCCATCAGCGTTGGTGGAAATGGTCTTGGGAGTTTCTTTGGTTGGGCTGTTTATTGTTAGCTTGTTTGTCAGTTCTTTGATTGGGTACTGATTACTTCTTGATCGATGGTCTGATATTAATCTTTGCATTGATCATCTGATTGTTGATTGCTGATAGGAAGGTGTTTGGGTCTCCCCCCCCCCCTTTTTGGCTTGTTGATCGCCTCTTTTGCAGAGTATGTTGCTCATGTGTCTATTGATGGCCAATTTGTCAAGCGTGCCAGGCTTCCCGGAATTCTGCAGCATTTTTGGACTTGGCTTGGTCCAGGATGGTCACAGTCCTCCAGTTGAAGGTCTGTCCATATTTTGTGAAATTAAAGAGTTTTCATCATGGCATCTGACTTCTTGGTGTTCATGGAATGGTGTTCTGACCATTGGTGTTTTCACAAGTTGGCCATTGATAGACACATAAGATATAAAAGTCTACATACTGTGCAAAAGAGACAATCAACAAGCCAAAAAGGCAACAAAAAGACCAAACAGCTTCCTGTCAGCAATCAACACCCAGATGAGCCAAGATTAATGCCAAGATTAACATCAGACCAACCAACAATCAAGAAATAAACAATACTCTGAACAGGAAGCTGCCAAACAAGCTAACAGGAAACAGCCCAACCAAAGAACCTCCAAGACCACCTCCATCACTACAAAGCAAAAGCAAACGCAAAATTCACTCTCTACTAGCACAGAGGATGTTACCTTGTTTGGATAATGAAACACCTTCAAGAAAACTACCAAGCTGAGTGAGTGCCAAGGACCCCTCGAATTTAATGACATTCTGGAGAGAAACTCTAATAGATTGTAGATTTAAGGATGGGTTTTAGTTTTGAGACTGCCTTCATTACCCTTGTCAATGACCTGTGGTGGAGCTGGGATGGCAAGAGGTTGCATGGAAAGGAACCATCAATTCCTTGTTTCTTAAACTCTCTCTGAATTGTTTCAGCAAATAAAGGACTTCCCCCAAGAGTGAAATATGCCAATCTCAACTGGAGCAGGCACCACATTAAGAAACAAACTTGAAGAAAAAGAATAAATTAGGCATGTTTTTTTAAACAATTTGAACATTTTTCATCCTATTATAACCTAACCAAACACATAGCGGAATACTTCTGCTTCACAGAGAATGCTTGCCTCCCCCTGCATCCAGACTGGGAAGTTGATGTAAAAAGGCACGCTAGTCTTCCCATTAATATTCCATACAACTCTGCTGAGCTATATACAGTAGCTATATTGAAGCAAAGTGCACAGATATAATAAATATATTCTGATGAAAGCTACACATATTATCTTGTAGAATGTTGCAAGCTACCCTTGTGTTTCAACAGACTAATGCATAAAATGCGCTCTCTCCCTATGTTTCACTGATACTTAAGATTAGTTCATTAAATGCCCCAATTCTAACATGAACTTCTTAACGCAAAGGCTTGTCCTTCTACATAAGAAGTTCCTCCAGTTAGAAAACTGACCTGGCCACATGCATCTAGTTACAGAATATATTCTCTGTGGCTCATGTTACCTGCTTCTGTGTGCAGTCTTGTATTTCTTTTCTTGGGATTTGCAAATACTGGGATCGTAACACCTTCCAGCTTTAAAAACATGGTACAGACAATAGCAAAAGAGACACAAATTAATGCTAACAAAATTACTTCACAATAACTTTACTAGATTTGATAGCTTAAGACAAAAAAGTAACCTGCACAAATCAAGAAATTTCTGATTTGTATTCCTTTTCTGCCATGTTCTCACTGGGTAAACTAATGCAGGATGCCACCCGATTCTAAAACTGGTTACTAGTCTATTTAGCTTTGCACAGTATTCATACAACATATGGTTTGCTTTATTACCACAGATTACCCCAACAGAGTAAAAAATAAACTATGGGTTATAAATTTCAATGGCTGGGTTCACACAGCATACTAAGCCATACAGGCAGTCCTTGCTTAATGATGGTTATTTCCATCATAAAGCAAATCATGTACCTTCATCACTTAGCAATTGCAATTCCCACAGTCTCAGTTGCCATTGTTAAATGAAGATGGGGATTGTTAAGCAAGGATCTCACGTGGCCATGACTTGAAACTTCCCACAAGCAAAATCAGTGGAGAAGCTGGTAGGAAATCTCAAGTCCCAGTCGGCTCACAAGGCCAGTTGGCAGGTGAGTGCTACAGAGTGTGGGCAGGCAGGGGTGCTGCACAAGCTTGGCCAGGCAAATGTATGATAGGGAGTGAAGGCATGGGGAAGTGGCTTATGGGAGTGATTTGTGACCTTCTCTGCCGGTTTCCCCATTGACTTTGCTTGTGGGAAGCCAGTGGGGAAGGTTGCAAATGATGATCATGTGACTCTTGGATGCTGCAATCGTCTTAAGTGACAGCTGGAACTTCAAGGACCAGTTGCACATACCACTTGTTCAACAGTGTCACAACTTCTAACAGTTGCTGAACCTGTAAACAATATTTATCATTTGCTGGGGTCCCTGAACCAAATAGCAGTAGCTCTGGAATGTTCTTTGCCACTTGAGGTCTTTGGCATACAAGGAAGGTGCTCATCCATATCTCTTTTGCAAACTCTTACAATAGGAAGGGTCCACTTTTGGAGATGGCAGAAAATATTAAGAACTTGACAGAGTGAAGTATTACATTGCATTACTTCTTAGTTATGGGCACAGATTTCACTTAAACTCAAGAGGTTCTGCCCCTCAAAAGCCAGGATAAAACCCAAACTACCTTTCAGAATTCCCCCAGCAGCTTTTCCTGGCACAAGCAAATACATTGATGACCCGGTGGTACTGGGAGCCTTGAAGGGGACAATAGATTTGCACCACGTGCAGCAAACCAGCACAGCAAACCTCACAGGATAGGTGGATCACAGGGACCGAGAGCCTCCAATCCTAGGAGAAGAGAAAAAGAACCTGACGTTGTTTTAACCTTCAATAGAGGATTTTCCCCCCCTTCCTTCCTTCCTGTTGCCAAGCGGGGCCACAAAAAGCGCCCAGCTGTGCTGCTTAGCCCGGCCTCCAGCCAGCTGGTCTAACACCTGCGGATACCCTGTAAAGGCCGGGCTCCCTGCGACCCCCTTCCTCCCAACGGCCCAGCGCCAGAGACCTGGCGAGGCCCATTTCGGCCGAAGGTTTCAATCCCACGGAGGACACGCGGTTAATCCCACCAGCGCCTCCTCCTGGCGCTCCGAGAAAGAGGCGGGACCGGCAGTGCGTCCAGCTCCACCGCCGCCTCGCCACCCCCAGCACCGGGGCAAGAGCGAGGAGGCGCGGCTGAACTGCGGCGCCTGCAGAGGGACGGTAGAGCCCCTCCATGCCTCGCCCGACTGAGCCCAGCGCTGCCAGCCGGGGCTCCCACCCGGACTGCCTGGAGGAAGAGGAGGCGGCGGAGACCCGCCCAGCTTGCTGGCGGTGCCCTGCGACGGGAGACCCTCGCTGCCCGGCGGGACGGCGGCGTCGCGCAGCCCCAGCAGCACCCGGGCCGGAGCGGCCGCCATGGCGCCTCGGTCCCTCCACGTGGGGGAAGAAGCGGCAGGACTACCGGAAGCGGCCCCACCCCCGGAGACGGCAGCCGAGGGCGGCCAAATGTGGGCGCGCGAAGCTGTCCCTTTCCAGCCAGGAGTCGGGCTGGGACGGAAGGGAGCCGGTGAGCTTCTCGTGCGAGAGGGAAGCCACTTGGGCCGCCGGCCGAGAAAGACTCGCTTTCTCCGGGGGAGGTGCGGGGGACCTCCTCCCGGATGGGAAGGAACAGGCGGATGGGCTTGCCGCAGCGGGCGAGGGCCGCGTCTCCTCTAGCGCCCGTCATCTTCCCGACTGGCTGCGGCTACGGGAATTCCGCCTCCGTCATTGCTAAAGACAACAAGCGGGGGAACGGACGGTGATCGCTGGGTAGCCCCCTTTCCCGCAGCCCTTGCAGGAAGAACAAAAAAAGGGAATCCCCATTTTTTCTAATTTCAGGCAGGCGCCGGTTTAAGAGACAAATTGAAATCATGTCCCATTTTGAGATTAAGGTCCCTGCTAAGCATTGGCAATTGAACAGCACCTGCCTCCCTACAATAAGGCAGGCATCCAATCTTTGATTGTGCGGCCCACGATGGTCTTTTTAAATATAAATGTGCAGAAACGGCATCCGTGGGACGAGAGAGAGCATTCCGGTTTTCAAAAGCAGAAATTGGAAATGTTGGCTGGGGAATTCTGGGAGTTGAAGTCCACAAGTCTTAAAGTTCCCAAGTTTGGAGACCCTTGTATTAGATGATCCTGATACGGCAAACCTATTCTCTGTTATTTTGACATTGAATGATAATAGAAGAATGTGGACCAGTAATATGTAATATAAGAAAGTGATCAAAAATTTAAAATTTAGCCCCGCTAAAATTAATACCAAGCATGTTTCCATCCAAAGCTGTGAGGCTGTAGGTGTAATTGATAAACTTTATATGGCCAAACTGTGGTTTTAAAACAAGTGAGCCAAAAGAAGTGGCCCAAATATCTATGTCTGAAATATGATTGAGCTGTAAAGAAATTTCACAAAGATTACTTTTCTTATTGAATGGTTTTATTCTGGCTTAAAATAAGGCCCACTTTTCCGTAGCAAGATACACTGAAGGGACATCATGCTGCTGTTCATTGGGGTACAGTACACCCCAATTAGTAAACTCAAATAACTGATGGGTAAATCGAACCCAAATCATACCTTCATAATGTCTCATTGGTATTTACAATTTATCTGGTTTAAATAAGTTTGGGACACCTTATACAGTATACATAGTTATTGCAACAATACAGCACTTGCCTTGTCTAAAAAGCCTCCTCCAAACTGTGCAGTATCATGATTTGTGGATTCCAAAAAGGCGTTTAACATGCAGAATATTACTAAACAATCGTATCTAATTCTACTTGACCTCATATGGAAATGAATTACAAAATACTTCCTTATAGTGCTATACAAAAAATATAAAATTATGATTCTATCACTTGAATATTCCCATTTGCTAACAGTGCATTTATCCACATTTTATCACTACTGAACATGAAGGAAAATGAACAAAAATTCAGCAAATTAGATAAAATATTTTAATCTTTGGATCCCTTTATTCTTGCGGCTTTCAGATATACATAAAAATACAAATTATTAAAGATCTGTATCTAATTATAACTTAATAGCAAAAGAAGTCATAACTAGTTATTCAGAATTAACCTCAGTTACTCCAAGCAAAATCACTCTAGTGATACTGGGGTAAAAATGAACAATGTCTCCAAGTTGCAGTCCATCAAAACTTCTTAATTGAGTATGCCAACAATACAAAACAACATTTTAAGAATCGGCACATTTCATTTTTATTCCAGGCACATCAACGGGAACAAGAAGTCAGTAACTGGCTCTTTTTTCACTTACTATCATAACATGACCTGCAAACTGCATAAAGTGTTAAAGGTTTATCTTTATCTAAATAGTCCCTTAGTGTGGTCCAATCCAACAGCAAGACCAAAAACTAGAAAATGGATTTCTTGCAAGAGAAATATTTTAATCCTTCTGAATAATGGAAGAACATTTCAAATATTTATTGGTAGTCAAAATATAAAAACAAACAAATTTAAAGCTGAAAAGCTAGAAAGAAACCCTCCAAACGTGTGTAGCATTTCAACACGGCAGTTTTGTAGACTTAAAAATGTTTATTCTTAAAAAATTAGTTGCTTTTTATACAGCTATACAAAATCCCTAGTGTTTCTTTGGCAATGGGATAATCATGGAATTATACAACTATAAAAAGCTTCCTTTGCCTAAGAAACAGCATTTTCCATGTTTATACTTTCTTTACTGACAAACCAATTTTTTTACTGCCCAGCATCCTATTTGACAAAAATTACAACTATCTGAAGAGATTATAGGATTTCAAATGCAACCTTCACTGGATCAACACACTCACAGTACTGACGGCCTTCTGCATACAATTGTCTTTATAGCCTGCAGCAATTATAAAATACAATTTTAATTCAGAAAAACCCTTTCTGTAATGAAAAAAAATACTAAAACTCCACTGAAGTACTGCTTTATACTTTTAACTATTTGTAAGAAATTATTTAAGTTTTCTATCTCAAATATATTTAATATTCTTGTTTTTGAAGATGGCCATATTTTCAAAAAAGTTACTGCTCCTTTGAAATTAAAAATGAACGCTAGTGCTGGTGAAGTTTTAACAGCAAATGAACATAATTCTTTGCGAAAACCAACACGTTCTTGGTACCATGAAGATCAGCAAGTCCACCTGCTTTCAAATTCTTTGTAGATTATGCTGCAACTTTGTTGTCTTTCTAAAAAGCAATACAAGATTAACATTACTTTTGATTTAAGCTGGTATAAAGTCAATTTGATAAAGATCATAAACATTTTGAAAGATGGGCAAGCCATTCAAATTTGATAATAAACTTGTCATCAAAATTTAAAAATGAATACATGAGTTTCATTACTAGACCCTGCCAGCTATATAACAGAAATAAGCTCCTACAATAATGATAACTACTGTAAATCAAAATATGAATGGAATAGAACAATTTAGTGCTGTGAAAAGTCCCAATTCATTGCCTGGTAGAGATGGAAAATTCCTTGCTATTGCTGGGAAGTATAGCTAATGATGTTAGACAGAGAAGTGGTCTGACTTGATAAAAAGGAAACTTCACCATGCAATTTACAGATAATATTATTGGTAATAATAATATTGGTAAGTGCCTTACCCTATATTCAAAATCCGCGAACTCCCTGCCACCACGGCCACCTCTAAATCCACCACGAAAACCCCGAGGAGCATTGAAAGGTCCTCTTGCGTTTCCACGTCCTCTACCTGCCCGGAAGCCACCAGCTCCTCCACTTCCCCCTCTGCCTCTGAATCCCCCCCGACCACGGTTTGGACGCAGTGGAAGGCCAAATGTCTCTGCATTCAGTCTTCTTTCCTCTGCCCAGTTTGGTCTTCGGTTTCTGAAAGAAATGTTGCTGTTGCTTCAAATTATGACCAATTTCTTCCTAAAAAGATGCTTCCAGCAAATGACTACTAGAAATGCCAGGGTTAGTTAGCAAATGAAAAGTAAAAAGTGTATTGTAGCATATTATGTAACCCCTTTCTCAAACCTTTAGTAGTGGACACCCAGAGGTGGATTTACAAATGCCAACATCTTCATTAAGTTCCACTTGGGAAAGAACGGAGATCAGAAGGAATTCATTAAACTGTTGATAAACTGATGCGGTGCTTAGAAGTCTCTCAAATGTTCTTTTAGAAATGGTTTGCACCTTTTTGCAAGAGAAAAATGATGAAACAAACTTGTCCACTGCCTCAGCCCTGGATTTTGAGAGAACCTGCCTGATTTTAGCAGAAGTCGGAATCTCAGTGCCAGGTCTGCACTGCATACACTGCTTTGCTGGCATCCTTCCATAAAATGCAGAGGGGGAGAGAGTGGGGAAATAGGAGGGGGAAATGACAGGGTGATAAGAAGCAGAAGTGTCAATCCGGAATGGATCGGCCAATCAAGGACAGAACCATGAGAACGGACTGCGAAACTCCACCAAAGAGGCGCTAAATATCATTGGACACTGGGGGAGGGCCAGGGAAGAGGGAAAAATGTCAGTTTTGCATGGGAATATTCAGATCCAGCTTTGCTTATGCTGTAACCACTTGACTTTAGTAAAACTAAACCTTTATCACTTCAAAAATTGAGTTGAGGGTCTTTCTTTCCTAAATGCTCAAATCGGGACAAGCCTGACACTCGGAAGTGTCTATCTATGGTTCATATGTCCTGCAGCAAAATGAGTGGAGTAGAATGAACTGTGGCATGGCTGAATGCAGAAGAAAGATTATACTTATAAAAACAAGCTTCTAGTATTTGCATGATAGAAATCATTTTAATTGCAGACACTGCAATCAGAAGTTGCCCCCACCCACATGATGGATTAGTCCAGTTCATTTACTGCATTCTGCTTAATGTGGAAAAGGAACTTCAGTTCTTTATCCACATGCAAAATTCTAGCTCAGCCATGCTACCTGTTAGTGTCAAAGGAATGCCATGTGTAGCTTGCTCAGAAAAACTTGGTACCTGTTGTCATCACAGGAAATGTTATCAAAGAAAGACTTGGTTTTGTCATAGTAGCAATTGGGGCCAAGTGGGTCCTCATCATCTGCATTTCCTTCACTGTTTTGGGTGTCAACACCTGAATCGCCTTTATCTTCCCCATTCACAGGTTTTTCAGGCTTATCCTCTAGAAAATCAAGGGGGAAAAATGACCATCCTCAATGACCATTCTAGGAAAATAATCTGTGAAAAAAAGGCAGATAACCATTTAAATTCACTATCACTGCCTGATCATCTTGGGTGCAGTTGCTTTGGAGCAAAACAGTTCAATGATTGGGAAGAAACACAAAACAGCTCTTTTAATTTTCTGTTTCTTCTTGTACTCTTTTACCACTCTTTACCACATTCCAGTAAATAGCAAAAACTAAAGTTACATCAGGACAATCAGCTAGATCCAGATTTAGTTACATTTAGAATCAAACCACTTGAAATAATGATGCCATGATGATTTTCAATCTGATCTAAGCATGATTGGTATGAACTGACCCCCCTGGAAACTGTATACTTACATTCTATTCATTCAGACTATTTGGCTACTTAAATCTGGTGCATAAATACAGTTGCATTTTAGAATGCAAGACAACTTTGAAAATTACTTTAGGGAAAAGGAAAATCATGTAGGAGAAAACTAAAAGACTTTGAATGTCTAAATGAAACCTCTCTTCAACAAAAACATCCATTACACTCAACTCCAAAGTCAGTAAGCCTTATAAAAATAAAGAAGGTTCTGTTCACCACTTACCTTTTAGTTTTAGCTTATTATGAAATTCACGATCTATTTCATCTTTATTAAACTGTGCATTTGCACTTTCAAAGTCAAAATCCTTCTCAAACTTCATGGGAACATCCCGCCTAATACCAAACCTTCCTCTGCCTCCCCGATGACCTCCCCGGCTCCTCCGTGAAGGTGCACCTGGAACTGTAGCAACAACAACAAAAACAGGGTCTAAAGGCACCACAGATTTTCAGGTTTTGGTAAACATCCTGAAATGACATTCAATGTTGACCCATGGGCAAGGTTCGGCTTGCCAATACTAATCATGTGAAACAACTGATATCTGATGTCACCAGATAAGATCAGTTTACTGAAGACATACTGAATGTTTTATTTTGGATTAATTAGCTTAAAAAGTCACAGAAATCCTGAATTAATGTGTTTTATAAGACTGAATATTGTTTTACTCAATCATTTCAGCATCAAAAATATTTGCATTTTGGGTGAGACACAAACTCAAAAGTCATCAGTGATGAAAACATATTAAGTATCCTCAGAAAGCAAGCTTGTGAGCAAGCCCCCCCCCCCAAATCTCTCAGGAGAGGGAAGAAGTTGCTTTTTCTCTTTCACAAACAATATCCTTGTAATGTCTGAATAAGGAGCTAGCTGTTTGGGGATCAGAACTAAGATCCACTCTGGTCCTGGTTTGTTCCAATCAGCACTGGCTGAAACAAGACCTCTTCTCTGTATTCAGGAATATAATGCAAGACATTCTATCCAACTGTCTCATGTCCAAAGGAAACAGGAAATTTTGGGGGGGNTTCTCTTCTCTTCTCTCTCTCTCTCTCTCTCTCTCTCTCTCTCTCTCTCTCTCTCTCTCTCTCTCTTTTCTTTGATCTTACTGTTTTCAATTACAGTCTGAGCAACTGTTGCCAGGTCACTTTTTAGTTTTATTGTTGTTTACCCGTTAAAATAATTTGGAAGTGTTTATTGTTTTATGCTTTGTTAGCTGCTATTCTATTAGCACTGAAGATGTGAGAAATAAATAAAGAAAGGGGAGCCAGTTTGAATCTCTAGCAGCTGTGAATTGTTCTGTTGCACTGAAAGTTTTATTGGAACCATAACAGAATATCATACCCCTTATTTTGTTCATTTTAAGCCTTGGTGACCATTATGTAAAACTGCCACTAGAAATTACTTTTGTTCTCCTGGTTGTACCAACTTGGGGGATTACTATGGAATTCTTCGAAGCCAAGGCTTTGCATCATGCCGCTTGCTGTTGGAAATTAGATCAAAGACAGATTTTGTGTTTCCATGCTTAACTATTAGAACTGCAGTCTTAGCCATTTTAAGGCATGCAGAATAAAGGTTACAGTGGGCCTTACTAAGAGCTGTGGCTCTTACAAGGGGGATTAGGTATTTCTATTGAGAAGTCTTAACACTGTCACCAAATTACAGTTCCCAGCATATTTTGGGAGGAAGCCGTCGTAATCACTCTGAAAGAAAATGTGTTTCTTTTTCTACAGAACTTGTGGAAATCCTAAATTCTTTTGAAAATAAAACTGCAGTGGAAACTTATTAGTTGAAAGAGTAAAGAAGCTTGCAAAAGAAAGCCAGCTCTCACTCTACATGTAGTGTATGTGTGGATGCTTGATAGAAGGATAACAGAGGTAGAAGCATCATTTCACCCTCGTGAAATGTTTGAGGGAGTCGAATAGCACCTACTATTAAGATTTTCACTTTAAAAGGTTGAGGATTTTGTTTTGTTTTGAACACCAAACTGCAAACAGCTTGTAGGCAGATTTTGTAAAATAATTGTTTTGGGAAATGGGCATTTGTGACTAATTCTGAAGGAAACGAGCAAACAATTTTTTTTTTAAAAAAAGGGAGTGGGTGTACAGCATGTATTCATGTCCCTCCGGACTGCGACTAAGATTTGAACTCAGTGTAATCCATTTACTACATAACAAAGCTGAAATTAGATTTTGATTAGCTGGATTTTGGGTCGAATCAATGAAAAATGATTGAATTAACTGACAAGCTGCTGAGCTCACGGCTCAACACAGTCAAACAAATGAGCAAAGTGAATGAGGCATCAACTATGTTAGACTTGTGTGAAATCTTTTTAAAAAATAAAGCAGATGGTAAGCTTTAGGATGTGCTTTTCCTGATCGTTTAGGTACTCTATATGTTTTTTACATAATTCCATTTATGTTTAGCCGTAAGTTTCTGAACTTTAGATAATGTTCATCTCAAATGCTCTTCCAGTCTTGAGATATCCCTATTTTGTTATAAGTACCTACGGGGATAAAATATAATTAATTGCAAGAGTACTATTTGTATTTAATTCTATGATTAATTCACATTTGGAATAGGGTCTTTTGTTCTATCTCAGGATCAAAATTATCAGCAAGAATCGGAGAACAACAGTTTTGCTCCTGAATGAGGGCAGAGGCAGCTCCAGTGTCTTTCTAGCAGATAAATATTGTCTGCTATTGTTAAACTGTAATTATTTGAAAGGCGAAGTTGTCTAGGTCATTGGTGAGAAACAGAAGAAATGGAAATGTTGAGAAGCAAGCCAACAATAGCCCGCATCAAACATTTAATGAATGGCAATGACACAATTACATGCTAGCAACACCAAGTCCCAACAGCTGCCTAATTAAAACTGGACTCAAACAAGGCAGGGAAAATAACTTGATTTGGATGCTATTTGCCTTGGTAATTTGGTACCGGGTTGTGCATTCTTGTTTTTTTTTCTCCATTCAGGGCTGAATGTTTATAAAAACTTAATTAAGTTGGAAGGGAGAGATTGATATAAGTCTTTGCCTTAATGGACTCTCTTCCCATGGGATATTAAGGAACTTGCATATGCTGAAGGACATAATGGAATTGGAGGGGGGAGAGGGAAAGTGAAGAGGCAAGCCACCTCTGATTGTTTTGCAGATAGATCGCTGTTTATTTTCTATTTTTCCTCAGCAAAAATTCCAAATCTTAAAATTGGACTCCAAGAAGCTATTTATAAGCTGTCAAGAGAGGCCAGCATTTCACTATTAAATGGATAGCAAATGCAATTCCAACTTTCTTCTAAAGTGGCAGATAAACACGGACTGGAGAGGAGCAGAAATGTTCAGGGACAGGAGGCCAGGGAGAGAGGTATGAAAAGCTGCCAGGTGCACCTTATTATAAAGAAGAGTAGGCATTAAGCTGGCACAAAAGGAATCGGCCAGGAATGGCTGTCCCCTGATGAGGTAATATCTGAGGAAAGTCATAGGGACTAATGGAGAAGGAATTGATTCAGAATATTGCAGCCTAGTAGAATTCAGCCTACATAAATTACATCAGAGTATCATCTTGCTTTATTCCCTACCTTCCCCCACCCTTCAAAATTCTCTGCTCATTGGCTGTATTAACACATTATACCAGGCCAGTCATTATGTTAACCATGGTTTGTTATGTAAGCTGTAATAGTTCTGTTCGTACCTGCCCTAGGCCATAACTATTGCTTACCAAACATAATAACTAAGATCACTCATTCTAAGAAACCAAATAACCTGTATCTGTGCTTAGCATGAGGTATGAACCAGGGTGCTATTTTGAAAAAAAGCTAAAATAATCAGGTTGGGGAGTTTTAAGGAAGGGGGGAGTTTGTGACATTTAAACAGGGGTGGGCTGCTGGGGATTTGGGAGAACTTCTAGCTAAGATTCTGTGCAGTTTGGAGAACCCCCACTCCCACTCCTGGCTGGCCCTGCCCCTTAAGCCCCGCCCACCATTGCCAAGCCCACCCAGCAACTGGGCAGAGAACCCCTTGCTAAAAATTTTGAAGCCCACCCCTGCATTTAAAATGTTAGGGTGTGCTTCTAAACTGAGAGACTTCTATATGGCAGCTCACCAGAACTGGGAAACGGGTATATAAAATTGATCAGAGGGATTTAAAGTCAACCCTGAATGGAAGAACATTCGGGAAATAATGCAATATTAAGCATGGTAAAATAGATCTGAGAAAAAATGTGCAAGCTGCATGTAATAATGAGCATGTAATACAGGAAAGATTTGGTGAAATTACAGCACATGATCCATACAAGTGCATAGAACAGTGTTTCTCAACCTTGGCAACTTGAAGATGTCCGGATTTCAACTCCCAGCATTCGCTGGCTGGGGAATTCTGGGAGTTGAAGTCCGGACATCTTCAAGTTGCCAAGGTTGAGAAACACTGGCATAGAATGTGGGAACAAAAAGAACCTGGACTGGTCCTACAGTTTTCTTGGCAAGATTTTTCAGAAGTGGTTTGCCATTGCCTCCTTCCAAGGGCTGAGAGAGAGTGTGACTAAGGCAGGACTAGAACACATGTTCTTTCTTGCCTATGCAGTGCCTTAACCAGTGCACTCTCATCTGGCTCTCATCTTAACATTGGAAGATGAATATGACTTGAAAAGCCTTATGAAACCAAGTGAGGTGGAACCTGGGTGGGGTGAAAAGACCTGAAGGGCATAGGGACTAGACAGAAGAAAGGGAGGAGAGAGAAGAAGTGTGATTATATATGAAGGAAGAGTTCTAAATCAAATTCAAGTAATTATGGAGGAACTAGCAGAGGAAGTAAAAGCTGGGAGAACCTAGGGAGAAAGCAGTCACTTTATCATAGGGTTCTAGTTACTAGTGAAAAAGAAATTGGAACACAGCCAAGCATGTACATTACATTTCAATAAAGTCATTGTTAAGTTTAGATAACTGCTAGGTGGGGTTTCATGAAGAAAAATTCTTAGGTCAGAGGCAATGCAGGAGTGGGAATTTAAACTACAAGATAAAATGTCCTACTATTCCAGTGATAAAAAGCAGGGATATCACTGAGGATGCAGAAAAAACTTTAGATGAGCTGTGAGTTAAAAGGGACACATAAAGGAAGAAGGAGATGGATGTAATCAACAGGAAAGCAATCAGCAAGTAGCTAATATTTGCAAAAGGAAAATTAGGCTGAAATATAAATTGAACTGAGGCTCACAGTGGAAGCTTAAAGCATCATAAAGGGCCTTTCTGGCTATTCAGATGATAAAAAGAGAACAAAGAAGGGCCCTACCCACTGCTAAGAAAAGAGTAGAACCATAACAGATGACAGGAAGAAGATGGAACTCTTCAAGACTTTAAAAACTTTAAAATACTTTTTTAAAAAAAACCAAAACTTTAACCTTAGACTGTCTACTGTCGACCTCATCCCATTCCTAA